AACACTAAAAAAATGGTATACACCTGTTGTTAGCTGCCTTTGAGTGGCTGTAAAGCACCTCACTGCTAGCCAAGTCAATGAATGAAATTCTCTTTTGTAGCACCTCTGATATGCAAAAGGCCTTTAGTGCTGCTCTGTGCTCCTGGAGGCAAAAAAAAAGTGATTCAATGTGTAAAGGGGTATTCTGGAAGAATGGTTTAAATATATTGTCATCTGAATTTAATTTCTTAATTTTAACTCAAATGTACAGAGTTAAATCATTTTGCCATTGTTTTACTAAAGAACAGAGTAGAATTTGATCAATTGAAAGATAGGATAGAAGGAATACTTACAATTAAAACTCTAAATAATAGCTTTTGGGGGCTGAAAGAATTAAAGGATTATGGTTATGTTCAGCAAGTACTATCACAGCAATTTTTTTTTAATTTTTTTTTATTTTGGCCAACAGTTAGGTTCTTTCAGATTGCCAGTATCAAAAGGAAAACTTCCAACACAAAAACCCTGTACATTCTCAAAAAGTCAAAAATATACAGATATATCCCAATAAACCTTCTTAAACATGGCAAATAATCAGGAAACTACCATCTCTTTTTACATGGCAAATTATTTTAATTATACTATCTGCAGCACACAAAATCACAGGATCATAGAATGGTTTGGGTTGGAAGGCACTTTAAAGATCATTTAGCTCCACACCCTCTGCCACTGGCAGGGACACCTTTCACTAGACCAGGGTGTGCAAAGCCCAACCCAGCCTGGCCGTGAACACTTCCAGGGATGGAGCACCTGTAACTTACCTGAGCTACCTGTTCCAGTGCCTCACCACCCCAACAGTGAAGTCTATCTGTTATCCCTTCTAAACCTGCTCTCTTTCAGCTCAAAGCCAATCTCCCTTGTAAAAAGTCCTGCTCCAGCTTTCTTGCAGGTCCCCTTTAGTGGAAGGCTGCTGGAAGGTCTCCCTGGAACCCTACCTTTCCCAGGCTGAACTGCCTCAATTCTTTCAGCCTGTCTCCATGGGAGAGCTGCTCTAGGCCTCTGATCACCTTTGTAGCCTCCTCTGCCCTCCCTCAGGTCCCATCCTTCTTATGCTGGGTCCCCAGAGCTGGACATATTAGTCCATATACTTCAAAAGCAAAATAAGAACTCTGATGTTTTCTGTTACCTCCAGAGCTTTCCTCACATTATCTTTCATTATAACGAATTGGAAAGCAAGACTAAATGCCTAAAAATGGCAGCAATCTGTTTACTAAAGAAGAGGTTTATTTAAAAAAAATAATTTTAAAGTTATCTGCTCTGTCATTTCTAATGCCCGTCTTCTTTTTTTTTCCATCCCAGAAAGGCTGTGCCAAAGAGGTCCCCAAAATTTGTCAGAGTTAACTATTTCACTAAACTTCACTAAGCTACCACTGCTGGTGATTAATCAAATTTTGCTCTAAATAGGATTAATTCGGGTGTATCTGTGAAGAAGCTTGTCAGAGTGCACGTCCCTCTTCTCATCTGTCCTCGGGTCTTTTTTTCTTGCTGAATTTAAAATGAAGCTTGAGCTATAATCTTGCATGGCAGATCCTGGATCGTTCCTTTGATAAACATCTAAAATGCTAATGAATGTGGGCTGCAGTTCTGAAACAGCAAAGCAAATGATTTGACAAGAATCTGGAGGGTAAAAAAAAAAAAAAAAGGAACTTTCTGACTTAAAAGAAAAAGTCTTTTTTTTCACATAGAGTATTGTTTCCCCAAGAAAAATTTTTCTGCTCTGCAGAAAACAGAAAAAATCCTACTACATCAAAATGCGGAAGCATGAAAAACTGATGAGCTTTCAGATTGTCCTCTTTTGCATGCAAATCATATCAGAAGTTCTCATTAGCATAAATGCATGAGCAGCTCTAAATGCTTTTAATTTCCAATCTCAGCCAGCAGAGGAGTAATTTGTCACTGTCAGGGTGAAAATCTAAAAGGAAAAAAAAAAGAGAGAAGGACTCCATGCTAAATTGGAATCATATAAATTTTTGATTTGCTAATTGACTGATGCTACAGTTCAATCAGCTGCCTTGAAGGTGTAAATAATTCAGTATACAGTCAGAAATAAAAGCATAATGTGCTTCTACTGAAGTCATATTAGCATTCAGTGCACCAGGACACACCTGACCATGTCTTTTTTACAGATACCCTTTAGTCATGTTCTATTGCTAGGCTGGCAAGTGCACTACAGCCACAAATATATATTTTGTCTTTCATAGTTTAAAAATGTGTAGTCTTTCATATTAATAAACATGATTCCAGAGATAATTTAATAAACATGATTCCAGAGATAATTTAAAATATTTTCACTCCAAATAATCTAGTAAGTCAGTCCTAATGCTTGCAGAGATGGTGGAATACATTTGTATAACACTAATGCAATTATAAAACATAGAGAGTGCATAAATGGTAATCCAACATTTCTATCAACTTTTAATTATCCTTTTTCCTTAATCAACTGCTTTAAATGTCATATGCAAAGTAAATAAAACCAGGTTTTAACTGACTAGTCACTTCCTTCTCACCTAGATCAAATAAGATTTATAGCCATTGCTGGCTTTTATAATGCAATTATACTTCCAAGAACATAAATGAATAATTAAAAAAAATACCTTGAATATAAAAAAAAACCCTCCTCTGGAGCATGTACAAGTAAAAGATACAGTTCATAATTTACCAGATGTCTTAAGTTAATTATTAATGTCTCATGGACTGGTGGATTTGAAAATCAAATATGGCTGTATACTGAATCCCAAAATTATCAGCTGCCTTTGTTGTGAATTCTACTTTGCGCAAATTCTAGCTGTACTATTTTGTTGTCTTAGCACAGAAATTTATCAGACACATCCTATGCATCAACAAATCTATTTTCCATGTCCTCATCCTTCCAAACATATTTTTAAACTAGGTTCCGTTTAAACAATTTATATGAAGACTTTATCCTGGGCAAAGAGCTGATTTTAATTGCTGGTAGCAGTCTTGAAATGGTTTTTGCAATGGAAATCTGGGTTTCTGATAATGAAAGGCTTACACCAAATTCCCCAGTGTTTTCAGCAAGGATTTAATCTGAATAAAGTCTGTAGGATTATGTTCCATGGTGTTCGTTTTGACTGAGCATTTGATTCTGCACTCGGTGAGATCAATGATGGCATTGATTCAGTCACTCATACCTTTTCCTTGTCACAAATTGCACATTTCCTTTCAAAATAGTGTTAAAATGTAAAAACAATAGTCAAGTAGTGGGAAAACATGAAATATAATGGGCTGAATGCAAACTGTGAGGATTCAGTTTCCAAACAACCAGATCCTGCTTGATCTGATAGTTGACTAAGGCAGAAGGATAAATCCTTTCAGTCTATATTAATCTAGAAGAAAAGAATCTGAAAATCAATTTTATGAATATATTTGTTTATACCCAGAGGTCTGAAAAACCTGACTCAAAGACAAATCTTCATTAAAACAAGTGGAAACCTTGGGTAAGAAAGACCTTGTGATAGCAGCCTAAGTTTTCCCCCCTGGCCTAAAGACCTTTCAGTGCAAGCAGAGGAAGCAGACAAGCACAGGCAGGGCAGATATCCATAGAGGTCACTTCATATAACCAAGAGTGGAGAGCAGAACTTATTTCTGCAGGCCCTGCTCCTCTTTTGGGTTTTGGGATACCAATAAGAAGGGAACCTTGTGAGGAAAGCCTTACTAAAATATGGATATCTCACCAGTGCTTTGTTCACCATGTGAAAAAGAAGCTGCTCTGTTCTGTGCATCTGGTCCCCAGTGGGAAGAGAGAGGTGTCAACAAGGGGAAAATGAGCTAGATCACAGGATTAAACAGTGAGGAAATGTCCTGGAATCTCATTCAGGCTGTAAGTAGACAATTAAAATTTTGTATATAAATTTCAACGATTTTTAAAATAGTTTTTCAAATTACTCATATATTCTTGTATATTTGTATTTTGGTCTTTTTAATCTCTTTTTATGTAGCTCCCTCTAGTTCTCTTCTGACATGTACATCATTCTGGAAAGAATTGTGGCAGCCTTTTAGATGCAGCTGAGGGAGATTAGTTGAGTTAAATTCAGTCTTTTTCTACCCAATTTTTTGTATCTATACTTCAGACATTCATATGGAGTACAGCAATCATCTTTGGCAAAAGACTTGCAAACAATCATGATTATGGTTTTATGATGGTTTAAGACACACATTAATACATCCACTTACCCTTTTTACATAATTCTCATGAGGAACATGAGGAGGAAGTGAAAATTTGGAAAGAGATTTTGTGAGCAGGATGTCTTTACTGTTTGGAGAGCAGAGGAGCTCAGACTCCAGCTATAAAGCCCTAATGAAGTTCCTGCCTGGCAACAAGTACAGCTCCAAGAGTTAAGCAGATAGTGCAGCCCTGGAGCTCCTAGACAGAGAGTCCTGGGTGGAGGTGGAGGAAGTTGTGACGTGTCAGCATCTCAGTGCACCTGGACAGGGCTCCTGAGTGAGCATGCTGTAGCCCTGGGACCTCTCCCAAATCACACCAGAACTACAATGTGTGCTGGACCAGACTGCTGGTTGGTGGGGTCATCAATGTGCTTCACAAATCTCTGTCTGGGCACTGACCAATACCAACAGAAAAAACTAATATATTTGCTTCTGTTTAAAACAAACAAACCAGCAAAACAAAACATTATTTACTTCCTTTACCCCATTTCTCAAACGAACAGCAGAAGGGGTATCTTCATTTTCACTGTCACTGGTAGGTGTGAAATACTGAAACCTTCCCAAGACTGCCAAGCTCATTGTTCTCCCTCTCTGCCTCTCCCTCTCTCCAGTGTTTTTTGTTCCAACCCATTGCATTAATCTTTATATTTAAAATTAAATAAGTAAATGAGTAAATAAAGAAAGAAAGAAAGTTGGTTGTAATCCCTTTGAGCTCAGGTTGCATCCTTCTGCCTGTATGGAAACCAAGACAAGGCTCTGACTGGTAGGAAATGCAGAGTATGGTCACCAGGCACACTGCTGTAATCCCATCACTGCGGCACCAGGAGGGATTCCTGCTGCTGCTGCTGCTGCTGCTGCTGTCTCCAAAGATTTGTGTTTCCACAAAGGAATCTGAATATGGTGTTGAACTTGAGAGCCAGGAATGCTCCCAAGCTCCAGAGCTCGAGGTGACTATTTTTGGGAGAGGAATCTAAGCGTTCATTTTAATGCATTGCTTATCTGGCCTCAGTAAATTCCAGGGTCAAGTTGTGCTAGACATGGAGCTCGGGGATCACTCTGGGGACATCACCAGCTGTGGGGAGCATATGTTCAGAGCTCAGAGCTGATCATAGCTCATCAATGTGGATTTAGCCCCCATTGTGATGACCAGACACGCAAAACAGGAGCCTGATTTAGCATCTGAGGAAAAAATAACCTTAATATAGCATGAATGCTTGGGCCTGAAACATGTTATGTGTTTTTATTTCACCTTTTCTTTCCTAGTTTTTATTTATGATAAATTGTCTCCGTTCAATACTATGGTAAATTCTTTCTATTTTTGACTATTCTTAGAGCCTTTTTCCCCATACTAACATGGTTCACTCTTGCAGAAATGTATGCAAATTAACTTTTTATGAAGAATGGGGGCAGAAATAAAGCATTATGCTGCTCTTGCAAAATAAAAAAATCATTAGTGATTGCCAAAAGCAACAAAGTTGATCTTTTGGCAGCATATTGTACATAATTACAAATTTTCTATTCCATTTCAGTCCTGTGAACAGCAGAATAGCCCTATCACAGGACACGAAATAATTCTGACCTCATGATAACACATTGGTGTACCTCAATCTGACCAGCTTCACAGAAGCATTGTTTCAGACAAGCCACATTTTCAGTGGAGCTTTGAGAAGGAGGAAGACAGCAAACACTTTTTCATTCCTTGAAAAGTGCCAAGGATGCTATAAGCATACCTCAGGCAGATTTAATTGTAATATTAATTAACTGGTTCACTTACTCACTAATTAATCTGCTGCTCCATCTTTTTCACACTAATGTATTTCAGAAGCAGATTCAGAGGAAATGTTAGAAAAGTTTCTCATGACAATCTCTGAACAAAAATTTGCAGAAGTATATGTACAAAACTGCATTATCGTTAGAATGGCAATCCTTAATCTAGTCATTTGATCTGGTCATTTAAAAGTAGGAAGAGGCAGCTATTTACTGACTGGATAATATGACCAAAAGACAATCAAAACATATCTTAAGAAACAATTCTTAGAGTGATTATATGTATATATATATATATTTGTCTTCAATGAGAAGCATTTCTCAACCACAGAGAAACACATGAGATATCAGCTACTATTACAAAAATATACAGAAAACTCCACAATTGCTGTATCCATCCAATACACTCTGCTCATTATTTATCTCTTCAATTTTTTTTCAGCTGGTCAGTGCAAATAACTGTGCCCCTGTTTACAAAACCCAACCTGCAAGAAATGTATTCCCCAGTAGAAGCACTCCTTTTTTGTGGATTTGGAAGCAAGATATTTCTGCTATCAGAAAGAAGAGACAGCCTAACACTGTTACTTGTTCAGTAAGGTCAGACCAGACTGGAGTTTGTTCTAAGGTACTCGTATGCAGAGATCAGGTTCAGAAGCATTTTCAATTTATTGGTTACAATTTCTCTTTCCTTGTGTCAGAAAAGCCTTCCCAAGACAGCTTTAATTTATAAGGAAATAGAAAACAAGCAAACAAACAAACAAATCCACATATTTTTCTTGTTACTTTGTTAGTGCAAAGATAAAGAGCTTCTAAAGTAGGAGCAGGTAGAGAAGGGCATGTTCAGATCTCCTTCTCTAGGCTTTGATAGGTACATTACTCCAGTGACAAAGAAAGGGCCAAGACAAGGTTTACACATGATGCACCATGATTAAGGTGCCACTGGTTGTGATTCTAAACACTAACTGCAAACATCTTTCATTGTTAAAAAGAAAGACCAAAGAGCCTAAATGACTTTCCCAAGATCACACAGCAAACCTGAAGCAAAATTAGGAATCAAGTCAATGTCTTCAAGCAGAGGGAGACAGCACTGAGACACGTTTTCTGTCTTTAAAACATTTTTAGAGGTAGGAAGAATAAACAGCATACACAGAGGAAACGATGGATTCTTGACAAAGTCTTGGGAGTACAGAGTCTTATCATGGCTTCAGAACACTAAGGATAAACTATTTCCCAAGCCATGATATATTTCTTCCTCACTGCATTACTTAGATGAAGAGATAAAATGCATCCTATTAATATGCGTTGTTATACTGTTTCACATGGATAGTCCAGTGTTTTGGCTCAGCTCTTACTCTAAGGGATCATTCAAGCTTATAGCTCCAACATGATGAGGAAATCAGTGTTCATTCAAGAGGACTGCCTCTGAGACTGCAATAAAGTTAAAGCACTTAACTTTAGCTTTTTGGTGGAAATTTTTGCTTATCAAAATTGAAGAAAAAGTATTTGTTTTACAGATAAAGTTGTTTATTAAATTTGAGGTACTAACCATCTTTCAATGGACAATATAAACCAGCTAGTGGAAAATATGAAACAGACCTTGATTCAATTTATACATGTTAACAGGAGAAATTACCACAATCAATACCACACTGAATGGAACAGGCTCAAAATGATCTAAAGTAAGTCGATGAATACACATGTAAGACTTTTTTGGTTGAATAACAACCTCATTGCACCATTTGCATACTGCAAGACATGCAGTCACTATCACACATATCTTTACAATCACATGTGGATAAAAAGGAAAATAATTCTTAAATCTGACAAATCGTTGAACCAAACAGACAAGGGGAAAGCATTGCAACAGTAATCATAACTTATATTTGCCCCAATTCTTTCTTTGTATACTGGCTCAGATTTCTTTGGCATTATCAGCCTGCCAAAACTGATAGACTTCCTCCAAAGCTTGGCCAAGTAGAATATTTCATTTTCCATTAAAAGTCTGCCTGGGAACACTACACTTTTGCTGTCTAAATTGTTAATGTACATTGCAAGTAACTGGTCTGGTTGTCAGAACAATAAAACACTGTCCATTTGAAAGTAAGAGAAAATGGTTTTGAAAAAGCTGCGAGTTGTTATTTGAAATTGTACTTCAAATTAAATTCATTTACACCAATTGTTTTTTAGAGTCTTTTCTCCAAATGATGATTTAGTTTCTTGCAGACATTAGCAAAAAAGCAGGAGGAAACTTCTGTTTTGTTTGTAGCAGCCTTTCAGGAAAGTGTGCAATGGTAAACGCTCGAGGTAATTTGGTGTTCTGCTCTGTCTCAGCAGTTAAATCCTTTCAATAAAGTAAACATTTCATTGACTATAAATTGACTGTTTTCTAAGCAAAGTGGTAAGTTTCTATTTGTATCACTTTTGTTCCAAGGCCCTATTTATAGAAAAACAATTTTGTTTCAGTTTCTATATTTCCCAGACTGAGATTTTCAGTAATTTATGTAGACTTGGGTAATACTGAGCATCCCACAATGTCTTTTGTTCACTAGGGAAAGCAAACAAGAAGGACATTAACCCGGAGAACTGAGCAGTAATTCAGCATGCACCAGCATATCACTGTCTCTTTAACATGTAGTACTCCATATATAAGGAAATGTTTCAGAAAACACAAGCTTGAGAAAATACGATTATCTGCAAATTGCTGGAAATTTCCTTGCTTTCTGGAGTAAGAATTCACCCTGCATTTCTCCACTTAATAACTGCCTCATTTGAGACACAGCCTACTTTTATTTTTGTAACTTTTTAGGAAAGGTAGTGGCAGTTTTTCTTGTGAGGCAGTAGCAACCCTATCTCAAATTGCCAGTGAAATCCCTCTTTGCCTCTATGAAATAAGGGATACAGTGTGTGTGAGGCAGCTCTCATAAGAATTGCATCTGGTCTGGTACAAGCTAGTATTGCTTTCTGGGTAGGAGAGTCTTGAAATGTTAAAAAAATAGCCCTTTGATTCAGCCAGGGCATTTTCATCTCTTTTCAATCACACTATGAACATCTTTTGCTCACTGAAAAATGCATCCCAAGGCATTGGAAACAGATTAGCTATTGAAGTCTGAGTGAAGTGGTATTTGCCACCATCTGGTTGTGAACCCTACAGAGAAGCTATCGATCGGTCTGCTTGCTATTTAAGTGGTAGCCATATCCACACTGATGTCCCAATTAAGGAAAAAAAAAAGGCATTTAATTGGAAAGACAAGTTCACACATTTCCAAATTTTATGGCAGGCCCATATGAAACAAAAAATAATAATAATTTTAAAAACACCACAACAACAAAATTAAAAAACAAAGCAAAGGAAAAAACCTCATAGAAACAAACAACAAAAAAAAAAACCTGAAAAAAAATTGTTATGAGAAAACCGGATTTTTTCAAATTGGCACAGACGTTACCATATTTTACTCAATGAGATTATGAACTATCCTGGAAGGGATGGGGGAGGGAAGAAAAATATTTAATTATTTTTCTCATATAAAGAGCCGTAAAAAAGCACGTGGACTTCAAAATGGCACCTTTCCAGGAACCTGATGAAAAATCTGTTATCTTTTGAGAGAAAAATTAAGTTTTGTAGGTTTCTAAAATGCACAATGATAGGCTTATATGCTGCTAGTATTTTTAACATTTTTTTCCCTGCATTTTGGAGAGCTCTTGTTGTCCCAGTTTAAAAGGCAACCTATATTTGTTAGACCTGAATGTATCAACTGCAGTGAAGGTGTAACTCCTTTCTATTCCTATTCAGAAATCATTGGTTCCTTTCACTTCTAGTGTAAATGACTGCCTTTCTCTAAAGTAACTAATCCCCAGCTACTCAGAACCCTTTATTCCTGTACAGACCTGATAAAATTACATTTTTAGTAACTTTGTTTTTAACAACTTTTTTTTATCCATTTTCCTACAGAAGTGTGTGATGCTGTAATTCTCAAGGGCACGTGGTGCGTGGTTGCCTGAAGTCTTAAGACTGTGGCAAAATAATTGTCCTGTATTATGGCTACAGGAATCAATACTTAACATATTCAAATAATTTTATTTTTAATATAGTTGATTTGTTGTAAAATTAAACAAAAAATTTTCCTTGAATCCCACTAATATGGTAACCAGGAAAAGGATTAAAATGCCATCAGAGCTTTGG